AAGTAATTTTTGATCTAAACTGAATAAAACTCAGTACTTTATAAATACGGACAAGGCAAAATCCACACTGAAGAAAATACGAATATCTGGCCAATTTTTCTTGAATAGTCTTTCCGAAGTGGCAATCATATTTCTTGCAAGATTTGTTTCGATGGACGGACGATCACTCGAATAATTCACTTTCAGATTTCCTGTAAAATACCGTGCGTTTGATATTTTGTGACGAACAATTTCATAAATTTCAAATAATTCCACACATCAGAGGTTTATATTTTTGTGAAGTACGTCAAAGCATTTTTGTATATACGAGTATTTACTTTTTAAATTTTAATTTTAAAGGTTTCAAGCTTCGAATTAGTACTAGAATCTGTGTTGTCAGATTCAGTTGATTTTTACTTGACAAACTGGATCTGTTTTGCTAAGACTTGCATTGTGCAGGGAGTTTTTTAGGTGAATCAGAATTTCCCGAAAAAAAGGGGGGGGGGAGGTTTACACTTTTCAATCCACGAACTACGCCAGGAATTGGCCAGTAAAATTCGTCATGCCAAGTTTTGCTCTTCATTTAAAATTGTTTGCGTTTACCCTGCAAATAGTTCGTTATGCGAAGCGTACTCAATGCGAGGAGTCAAGATCCCTTGAAAATATATCAGCAAATATAATACCTGGGGCCTGCATGCTGGGATATTGGGTTGGCTTGCAGAGAGGCATGAAACAAAATCACAATATCGAGCTTGAAAGAAACCATGTTTGGAGGAACGATTTCTACCAAGGGTGATGCGGGAATAATGTGGAAGAAAGGTGGGAAATTTTTCTCCTTCAACCCCAGTAAACCCGACTACGCAGCAGAACTCGAAGCGAAACAACTCGTGGTTTTCTCCACCATGGAGCAACCCACGGCAAATCCAATCGATGTGAAGAGACTAAACGTGCTCTTTGGACACGAACGAAGTTTTCATCTCAGCAGACTTTGAAAACCAGTCCTCAGCACTTTTCGTCGACAGATCAACTGTGGGGCTTCACTTGCACAAATGAACTTTTCCCTTCGCACTTCCTTCAACTTGCCAAAGTCGGATACACCTCTTAAGCTCTCGACTCATTCGTTACTTCACTCAACAATGAAGCGAAGAAACGGAATTTCATACGTCAACTCAAACATATACGGGAGAAAATGATTTTTTTTCTTTCCTGATACTGTACACTATCTCTCAATCAAAACTGAAAAAAATATGGGATAACTCTCGAAACTTCAAGCAGATCGACCAGATAACTTGAAAAAAAAAATTCAAAATGTCCCTAGGGAGAGATTGCGTTGGTACTAGAGAACGTGAATCGCCCCTCGCAAAAAAGAAATTTATAGCAGAAAAAATGTTCGAAGTCTTCCTACATGAGGCGGGGTTCAGAAAAATGTTGCAAATAACGAAATATTGCTGTTTAGGCAGCTTACAGCTGGTGTTCAGCATTTTCTGCATTTTTGAGCGGAATTACACGATTCACGCAAAATCTATCATTTACTAAAAACGTCATAACGACTCTCACTGTCAATAATATTCCTCGGGAACGTTATTCGCAGTACAAACAACGAATTGCTTCCGGTATCCCGTTTTTAACGTTTGGGCACTTTTTCAGACAGTTAAAGTATTAAGAGCTTTGAAAAAGTCTGTGTGAAAATTTCTTGTGAATCTGAAAGAGCTCGAGGAACAATAAAGTTTTCAGATGAAAGAATTGGTGGAAATTCAAAATGTTCGGACTTTCATCAATATTCGTGCTACGATGATTGCGTTGGTTCAACAATTATAAACGTGTTCATAATTCATTGAAGCAGGAATCACAGAGAATCATCTGCATTCCGCTCTCATGCGGAAGGTATCCTCGAATCGAAAGCAATAAATAAAATTTGACAAGGATTGTCCTTCAGATTTGCGCCTTCAGCGAAGCTTTCTTGACCAACGGTCTCCGTCATAGAATCTCCAGTAAACGTCAATTCTAGTAAAATCAGCACAACCCTTCACAGAAATTCCGGATCGTCGCTTTGAAAATGGCATAACCATTTCCGTTGATGGCACTTGGCGCAAAGTGGGTCTGGGACAGTTTAAAATAAATGCCGGCAACTCGATTTCGTCCTAACTTTCCTCCGTCATTTTGTTCACAGGAAGCAGTTGTGATCTGACGTGCTCTTCATAATGGCTCTCAGGAAAGTTTTACACATCAAGGAAATCCGTAGAAACTTTTCAGACCCTAATAAAAGCAGAGAATATGCCACGAAGCCACGAGAGAATTTGTTTTTCTTCCGTTGGCTCTCGTCATGCGTGTTATCAGACCAAGGCTCAAGGATTTTTGATGCAATCAGGGGCAATGAGGTAGCAAATGGATGAACATTCGCGTCATGTGCTTCAAGAATGGAAAGGGAAAGTCGATTTCCTGTTTCTTGCAATGTTGATCCAACAACTGTATTCCCATGGGCATTGTTCTTCCGAAGCTGGCATTTCGTCGCCCGATACATTCCCATTCACAGAAACCAATGCACCAGAAAATCTCGGTAATTCAACACCTAAAGAAAAGCAATTCAGGCTGCTCATGAGATCACATACATTATTTGAGCGCCTTCTCGATACGCTTCGTACGTCAAGTACAATTTTCTTTCAGAATACTTAACAGATCAGGAACTGATTGTTATCACAAGTATAGTATACAAATACATTCAGTACTTTTTAACAACCCAGGAAATATTAAGTTTGTTCGAAAATTTAAAGCATTTATTTTTTAAGATTTCCATAGCAAATTAGTTCATTCAGGAGATTATTACAGGGGCCTCTCGATGACATTTATAGCAGAGATCGTTTTTTTTTCATCGTAGACTTTGCAAGGAAAATCATAATATAAAAAACAGCTTTGATCTCAAAATAGATTAGAAAATGTATGGAACCTCTGCGAAATCGATGCTCCATATATGATGCACCTATAAAGAACGAGGACAGCATTTTGTTTCTGAAGTCGAAAAATGAGAGTACAACTGAGCACATGTTCCACTTGAACAACTTCCAGAAAAAACAGCTCGCGTTCGTTAGCCTTTTACATTCCGGTAAGATAATGAAAGAAATTCGAGAACTGAGCCTCATGAACTTGTTTTTTCTTGTATTTTTTACACCTGCAAAAAAATAAAATCCTATTAGACAAAGGAAGAAAGGAAAAGAAACCTGGTGTTCATGGCAGTCTACAACCCCGTGGCAAGTACGCGATAAATCTTCGGGTTGTACTCCGCTCCGTACTTTGTTTCTCGTGAAATGTTGGCAGTCTTTCTCAACTGTCTGAATACAGGACACGACGTTTCCGCGTGTGTTCTTCAAAAATATAAAATAGCTCTCTCAAGTAGCATTCAAAGTAAGAAAGCCCTGTGACATAATTAGTCCCCTGTGGCCATGCGTAAACCCAACATGATCCGTTAAATCCGCCATGAATTCCTTAGAGTCTATGCAGATGCCTCGTCTAGAAAAGATTTTACGCGATCTTCATTAAAATAACAAGGGCAATTTAGACAACTATCCATAGCTCCGCCAACTATTTTTTCCGACATCCCTGGAGGAAGAAGCAAAAGATAAAATTGGCTTCAGCCGTACAGGAGAGCTGAGATGACGTCTCAGGAATGTAAGTGGCGGATGTCATCGTCAGCAGATGCGGCGGAAGTTCGACAGGCATAGATGCCAGGGTAGACAAAAGCAGCGGTGCTCATCCAACATATTTATCTCAGTAAATACTCTTTCCCCAGAAAAAAAAATGCACGCGTGACAAATTTCCATCAGGTGCTGAGATTCCGCTTGCTGATGAAAGTTTCCCGAAGCGGAAGCAGCGATGCTCTGTATTTCCCATGAATCACCGTATGTCGTGTCACATCACGGGCGAGCGAATTTCCATATTCCACCATACTGTTATGTTCTTCCTGACACGAAAAATGCTTCCAACGAAGCAATGCTTTTATGTATGTTTAAAAATATTTTATCAGAAAATGATCGTAACATCTTCCTGCTGGCTTTATGCTCGACGCGGACACTAGCGACGCTCGAGCCTCTCAATATTGATCCACACTTTCGCTCACTGGTTTTTTTCCACGGAAATGAGCAGGCGAAATTGCTGAAAAAATTATATATCCTGAGCAAAATACTGTGCTATTTATGTTTTTATTTATTCCAGGTAATAGGTATTCGTATATTCCTTTCGCGAGTATGATTTTAAGAAACTTGGTTTAATTTTGGAACGAAGTCCCGATGCGAGAATAGGACTGCTTCAGGCATTAATTTATTTAATCAATCGAAAGATTGATAGATATTTTTTTCCTTGCTGATACGCTATAGCAGATACCCAACCTCACTACGAGATGAACAGGAATAATTTTCAAGTAGTTTACAGACTGCAAAGGTAGACTGACTGTACAGATATTTTTAATTAAATATATCATCTATTTACAAGTACCCTATTTTTTTCTTGGTCGATTTTAACCCTCTATAATTTACGAAGAAGCAAAGAAGATATATAATCCGTACAACGAATTGCTGTCCCTCAAGGATAGAGAGGTAGTGTTGCCTGTAATATCATTCGAAGTGATTAATTAATGGAGAAGTTAATCATTGAATTCATTTTCAGTTGAAAATCGATCAGAAAACAAGCTTTATCTTTAGTTTGACCCAAAACAGATATGTTATCTTTCCGCGGATTGTTATATTTTAATGTGCCAAATAATTATGTTGATTGTTTCGAACTACAGTATGTACCTTTTGGAATCACCCTTTCAATCGCGGTTAATAGAAAGTTGCTTTAAAACTTGAGCTTTGGATGAGCCCGTCTTCGGACCCATAAAATTATGCAATAGCGCAATCATCAAGAAAACCATCTGAGATGGAACTTCTTAGTGGGATCCCCATTTCCATGTAGAAGGAACTACAGTATTCTATGTCAGTATTACTGAAATAATCTTCCGAGGAAGGTAGAAATCTCACGAACGCGTGGCTTCAGCACCGCGGATGATTGAAAGGATGAAGGGGCTCGAACCCATAAAGCACAATGAGGTCCCCGAAGACCCGTCCAGACCTGGTATCTCTGAACATATGCTTTTCCTCTTTCCTTGAAGCACGAAATAAAATAAAAACCGCTCCA